AGGCAAGCTAATCAGTATCTTGATATTTATATGTTAGGCAGATATTACTAAATATGTTCTTAAAAAATGTTCTTTTCTTTGAAAAAAATCTAAAAAGTATTATCTACGAATAAAGTATATCATACACAATAATACAGATGCCCAGTAATTATTCAACTTTTACCTATTTAATTATAAAAAAGATGAAGCAATGCTATCAAATTGATCAAGATAAAGAGTGATAATATTCAGTGTTGGTGAGGTTGTGAGAAAATAGGCACTCATGTACATCGTTGGTGGCATTGTAAATTGGATCAATGTTTCTGGAGGATTCTTTAGTACTGCATCAAAAATGTAAAGTATTTTTACTCATAAAAATAGAGCTGTTAAAATGAAGAATTTTGTTTTAACTTTAGGTTTTCATAGATATTGTTTATTAGCCAGGAGACTCCATTGGCTCTTGCTTAAGAAAATTATACTCTTGATAAATGGAAAAATCTTTGATTAGAGAATGAGACAAGGCAATTTGCAATATAAGTAAAAATGTAATAAAATTCTTCAACTTACTGTATGTAGGGTGAGTCCTATGGAAGATTAATCAAAGAAAATATCATCCCTTGGCTAAGTATTGGAATAGGCTTAAATAGAGTAGGTAGATTTTAATTGCATTTTGAAGATAGGCCTATGTATATAGAAGTAATGAACATATTGGTTAAATTACACAGTGAGAATGAGGTGTAAAACTGAATGTAGGGAAGAGTGAGGAGATAAATATAGTTAACAATCTGTTAATTCCCTAAACTCTTTGGAGCACATTCTTTGTGTCTGATACTTGTTATTCAAAGATGAATGAACTGGTCTAACCTTCTAGGAAGTCAATTTATTGTTAAGAGAGTTTAAATGTAAATGATATGTGCTTTTATGAAGGTATGTTCCATTGCCTCTTTTGTGTCTTTAATTTTTTATTGATTAATGGTGTTGTTTCTGTGAAGTTGATATAAATTCTATTTTGGAAGCATAATTAAGTGATGATTAAAACATGAATAAATTAGGAAAATTGTGTATTTTATATGAATGAATTTCACTTAATGAATATCTTCTAAAGAGAACTTTCTTCATCTTTGATTTAGAGCAGTGGAATAAAATGACTCGAGCTATGTGTTTTCAGTAGAAATTAAGTTTATTTTAGTTGAAATATATATATGAAAATGTTAGTTTATCAGACACTAGAGGAATAATAGTATATTTTTCGAAGCTTAAAAGAATAAGTGATAACACTTTGTATGTTAAAGTGTATTGTATTTATTCATTCACAAAAATATACTGAGTGGCCAGAATGTCCTTGGACTTTTCTGGACTGTGGGAAAATATTGCTGTAGAAAACATACATGGTTACTGGCTTATTGAACTTTTGGTTTAAAATCTTATCTTGAATCCTCTAAGGCTTCATGGACCATTGTTTGGTTCGTTTGCCTAATTATTACCATTTTGTCTTTTTAGGCAGAAGTTGTCCTGTCAGGCCCCTTTCGATAGGTTGTGAATTTATCTTTGGGTCATGTTTCTACCTACATACTGTCCAGTCAGTTGTTGCAGAGGTGTGTGGTCCATAGTGTATCTCCCTCATGTGGATTATAGGCTAGGTGGGTTCCTCATTTTCTCCCTAGGTGTGTATTAGGGACCATGGCCTAGGTAGCACAGAAAGCTTGTTTTCAAAATATTTTAATTTTCAGTCTACCAAATAAAGTAATCATCCTTTACCAGCTGGGCCCAGTGTACCTTTTTATACTCTTTTATATTTTAAAATCAATTTTAGAATAACGTACAGAATAAATAGTGAAAACCACTTTATTAGAATTTTTAATAAGAATTTAAGCACAGCAAACTTTCTGTCAAGTATATTTTGGTGCACAAACATAAAAGATGAAAGAATGTTGTCACACATTATTTTAGCAAAACAAGATAATCCAGGTTGTTACAAAATACTGTGTGATGTAGTTCTGTCAGCTGAACGACTAACTGGATGAAAATACCACGTTTCTTTTGTTCACAAATATTTTGTTCACTCATAATTCGTAAGTTGTACAGTATTCATCTAGGATATTATCATCAATCTGAGATGTCATTTGCATGATCAATTTGACCACCATTACCAGAGTCTAGAGTTTGCTGTCTCTCTGCATCCATCCTTTGATGTGTGTAAATATTGTAAAATATCTTTCTTTGTCAATTTTTTCCTCTTTCTTGTTATGGATGGAAAGTGAAAAATAGGGAATTCTGAAATAAAAGCGAAATGACAACTACAAAGGTGGTGTGTCTTCAAGTTTTTAAGTGCCTTCTTGATATATGATGCAACCATTTGGGCAGCACAACATAAAA